ATCTTAAGCAAGTGCCCACAGCATAAATTTACTTTTCAAAATGTCATCACTGACACACAGATTCTCACTTGAATACTTTGAGCTTATTGCAAAGTTTTACACTTCCACATGACGATTTTAAAACTAATAATCTAATTCCAGGTGACTATTTTTAAACTCAGCTCAATGAGACATGATTCTTGCTGAATGAGAAGCACAGGGCTGTACAGGGCTACTCCAGCCCCCACTGTGTTTCAGAGCTTCAGTTGCAATTGCCTGCTCTAATTTTAAAGGGGAAGTCTCTATACGCAGTAATTAAGCCCACAGAGGAGCTCAGGAGAGCTGTCTGTCAGCACCTGGCAGTGGGATTCCCCTTCCAAAGGCACCTGCACTAAATGGTAATTCCTTGCCTCCTTTTCCCACTTCATTCCCCAATGCTTCTCCCTTCTGCTCAGAGGAACAGATGGAACAATCACCCTCCTCCTTTTCACAGCACAGACCCCTGCTGCTACCAAGCACTTTATGCAGTTGTAATACACATAATTAGGCAAATCAATGGACAATGCAGCATATTAGAGTAGGAGGGGTTACATCAGGCAAAACACAAATCCCAGCTTATTTACATTTCTGCATAACTGCCAAATACTGCAGACAAGATGGGAAACGAAGCTCAGCACTGGCAGGTAGGGTACTGCACCAGGTCACTGCCTGGAACACTTGGAGTACAGCTGAGAAAAGTTTGTTCTCATCTTGACATGCCATTGATGTCTCATTAGCATTTATGAGTTACTCTCCCAAATCTCACACAGCCTTAATTAGGCACTTTGATGTTTACTGCCATTCACCTTATTACTGACTACAGACTGGAAGACTCAGTCTGAGGCTGCAGAAGCCTTGTCGCAAAAAACAGCCCTCCCAGTTTTACACCAAAAGGTACAGCTTGCATGACAGGGGCCAAACACCTACCGCTGCTGTCTCCTGACCAAGACAGTTGCTGAGTTTCTCATGAAGGGAAATGCAGTTATTAAATATAAACTCTGTGCTCCCTGCCCAGTAGTTTCTCTCCAGCCTTTGTAGCTCTGAAAGGTAGCAGGGGCTCCTGCAGACTGATGTGGTCTCAAATCTGAACAGCAGCAGCATCAGAAGTGAAATATATCTACGTGAATAGCTAACCTGATGCTACCAAGTGCCATGTAAACAAGTGAGGCAACAAGGAGAATGACAGAGACAGGCCTGAAAGGAGCAATTCAGCCCAATGAACTGGGGTTCTGTGCCTGAAAGAGGGATCTTGCACAGAAAAGAGCACAAGCCAAATTAGCCAAGAGAATTAGAGAGGCTATTAAATTGCTGGGTTCTTCAAAGCAGATCTGCTCGCCAAGAGAAAACACTAGGAATGCATTTGCACCGTTGCACTAATAGAAATTATCATATACATGGAATTAGTTTTTTTTTATATTATTTTTTAAACTCAGAGCAAAAGCATGCCTAGGCATCACCTACAAAGCCTGGAATACTCCACAAGACTTCCTCCGCCAACAGCACAAGAGTAACATGCAAGCAGTTACGAGTCTCACAGCTCCCTCCCAGGCAGGGGGTGTTAAAGGGTCCATTTTAGAGATGCCTAGTTAAAATTGCAATTTTAGTATAAAAATTCCTTTGAGAGAGAAATCGATTGATTGATTACTGGCAACTATTTTGGGCCAAGTTTGTCTAACTTTCAGGCATTTAAAAGAGCAACAGCTCTGGAGAACTCAATGTGTGGAGCTCTCAATGTGTAGAAAGTCTCAAACAAGACACTCAAAACAAGACAAGGAAAAAGGACAATCAAGAATGCTTCATAAATTATAGACTTAGATCTTTTGGCCTTAGAGCAAGTCAGGCGCAAGGGCAGAAGTCTCAGCCCTCCAATTTGAGCTCTCCTACTTTTTACTGTGATTCCTGTCAGACATGGGGCTCTGCCATCATCTCGGCCCTTGCCTGCAATACACGGCTTTTATTCTTGTCCACAGGCGGCCTCCAAAATATCATCAATGATGTTGGATCATATTGTGGCTTTCTAATATGAGAAACTGTATAATAAAATGCAAACCAAAGTTACCAAGTTCATTTCAGATATGATCTAAGCCAGGTCTCCAAATGCAGTATTCATGCTGATAAGACCGTCACTTCTCCAAAGCCTAAGAATGTAAAAATAGTATGATTTATGGGTACCACAACAGCAGACCCAAATTTATTTTCTTAATGCAAAATCATGCCTCACACATGCCTACAAAACCACAGGCTGCAGCCCACTCACCACTAAAAACGAGAAAAACAGATCTGTGACAAACAAAATATTTTAGAATTACTGTCAAAATCAAATGACATGAATTTATTTATATGCTATAAATTATTAAGCACTCCTACAATACTTTAGAAAACAAAAACAAGCAAGTTCACCTTTGCTGCTTGCCTGGGTGATGCACCACACTCACATGAGACGTTCCCCGAGGGTGGTGCCATCCTTCCTCCATGTGTAACATGCCCAAATAAGACCGTAACAATTCCGCATTCACTCTGTTCTCCCAGCTTATCTTTTCACAGCTTTGGAGTGCATTCTTCCTTATCTCAGAGACAAATGGCCTCCGCGGAGAGCTCTAAACAGCACAGCTATTTATCTGTTTGACATGTGTTTCCCTGTTTGTCTTCTCCAGGCTCGAGACAAACAGCTCGAGCTTTTACAATATTCGGCTCTGTCTCCAGGGTTGCCTGGTCCATTCACTCCAATGACGTGAAACAATTCTTTGCAATATTTATAATTTTCTGTAGTAAATCAAGTCTAATCAATGCTTTTTCCTGTAGCCCTAAGTCTTTATAAACTTTTCAGAAAGCTGTTTGAAATTAAAGTAATAGACAGTTATTTAATCTGCTTAGCACTAAATATTTTTTTCCTAGAGAAAAGAGATGAAAAGGCAGCAACACACAGTGGGCTCTGCTGTCACCATTAAAAAACAGTTTTACTAACTTCTGATGTCTTCCAGCATCGCTTACCACTTCTAACGCAGAAATACAACCTTATTCTTACTGCATGCTGGAAATGTAAAGGGCCACCTGAACAGCCTTCCCCCTTACATCTTCATCAGCTTTATGGGAGCTCTGCACCACCACCACAACAGACAGCTGGGGCAAAGAGGCCTTGCTATTTATGCAGTCTAGAAATCAGCAAATTAAGAAAACAAACAACCTACATGTCCAACTCCATTTGATCTCTTCCTCAGAACATTCTGCACCCCAGACAAGCCACTTTCCCTTCTTCCAGTGAAACCTCATAGCTCTCCCCTTCAGCCTGAGCTCCTATTGAGATGCAAGTAACTTGCTCTAAGACTTTTGGCAAGACACTGCAAGTCTGTTCCCTTAGGGCTGATTACCACAATGTAATTACAGGTACCTTAAAACAAAGTAGTGCCTATGCTATAAATAAGGAGGGAGGTTGAAAAAGGGAGCTTTAAAACCACCAGACCAAACTACACATGTACTGAGCTCATCATACCTATTAACTGTTTCCCTGCCTGAAAAATATGTAGGAAAAAATTCCTATAAATCCATCTCCCTAGCCTTTCTAGGTAATTTTGACTCTTCACTGGATTCTACTCACATCCTCTAGGAGAACCCACAGCAGCTTAGTTGTTGGTACAGGATTCAGGGGCCTTACAATTCAAATTTGGCAATTCTCAGTTAAGGCTAAATAAGGTCCTCCAGTTTTCTTCCTAAGTGCTCCCTTAGGTTCTCTTTAGATAGGCAAGGCCTCTTGTTCATGAAGATATCACTCACTTGACACACTCAGCCTGTGTAATAACCTCTACCCGAGTCAGACAATGCAGCCACACAGGAAATTCTCACCAGCCACTATTCAAAATAAAAAAAACCAAAAGCAAAAGAGGTGGTATGGGGATATTAGGAAATATTGCAAAAAGAGATGTACATAATTTAATTAACTTAACCTTCTTCAGCCCTCATGCAGTTGAAAAAAGTTTCAATATTCACACCTGAAACAGCAAGACCATTTTATTTTTTAATTTTCCCCTCAGACATATGCTGCATAATTGCACCTACATTGTGAATTTTATTGCTAGCATTTAGAAGAGTAAGTGCTCACTGACAGGCAAGATGAGAAGGGTTCCAGCCTCGGGGGACACAGCACAGAGACTGATTAAGTGACTGGAGGTATTTAACAGCATAAAAAATATGGGCAGATGAGGATTGCAGGTCTTCCTGAACATGAGAGCGAGCCTGCCCGTTTCCAGCCGCATATACCATTGGTGAAAAATAAGACTTTAAGCCTAGGATTTTTATATACTTTATTATAATAAAAATGTTGAAAAGTAATCATCACTTGCTCCTCCAGAGGTATGAATTTGACAGCTTCATTTTGCCAGAGACTGTTGGACTAAGCCTGGGTATTCCTGGCCTCTGCTCCTTCTAAACCTCCTTTTAGAGGCAGAAGGACCCTGTTTCATTCATACGCAGCAGCCATCTGATTTCAAGAATTGATCCAAAAGCAGCAAATGAGTTTGCCCAAGCTACACAACACACCAAACAAAGCCAGGTTTAGAGAGAGCAAGAGCTTTGCTTTCAGTAAGCCTATTGTACCACACTGCTTCTCTGCTTTGGTTAATATCACTTCAGTGATATCAAGAGCATATGGAAGAAATAGTTAGGACATCCATTCTTTAAAGAGCAGTGGTGTGTGTATATATATGTGGAAGCATTTCAAATACAGCATAAATATATGTGAAAATTTTGAAATATCTTAAGAACCATAGAAATAAGTTGCAACACCTTCTATCTTGCAAAGATGATAAAATATTGCATTTATCTTGTCACACAGAATTTTTAAAAGCAATCATATTATTTAGATTTTTCAAGTTATTATCATTAAGTGGTTAGTTATAAAGTATTTTTTAAAAACAAAAATGCAAAGTGTCATAAGCAGGCTTATACAAACATAAAAAGCGTGCTTTTCAAATAAATTCTACTTTCTAGAGACAGATCATCCTTTCAGTTCTATTTGACTAGGACAACATATCGTCACTTGATAAACAATGAAAACTGTTTCTAGAAGTTTACTGCAGAGATCAAATCTGACTGAGTCAAGAAAAAAGACAAATTATAAAGGTATTATACAGCCATATCAGTTTCCTGCAAAGCCATCTTGTCCTCCAAACTGTCAACACATACAAAGAAAATATCAACTTTTCTGCAGCTCAGGATAGCCTTGAAAACACCTCATTACAGCAATGAGCTGTGTTGTCTAACAGGTCACAGTCTGTTTTAACAGTCTTTTAGTCTTCATCTCCATTTGTGCTGCAAAGAAAGAGGAAAGGATTTTTCTTTGAAGAGACCTCCAAGAAATTTCCCTTCCCAACAGCATCTTTTGAAGGACCGTCAGGTTCAGATGCGCTATTTTCTTGTTGCTGTGAAACAGCACAGCTTGCAGTAGCCAATCCTTCAGGCTGCTCTGAAAGTCTAATTGCAGTGTGCATTTGCTTTTCTAATTCTTTTATCAATTTGCCAGGAACAGATGTAGATTGCAAAGAAACCTTTGCTTTTTCATCACTAACCTCAAACACGGAAGTGTTTGTGTCTTGCCTTAATCCATTACAGTCAATAAGTGGAGCTGTCCTCTCCTCTTGAAGTGTGTCTTGTAAAGAATTTATTTTTCCATCTTCACTAGTTGAGGACTCCTGCTCCTCTGAATCAGAGGCTTCTGTCTCAGATGATGAAGTACTGCTTGAGTCTTCAGAGTCACTTGTCTCTGACTCAGAGGAAGGCAGCTGTTGCTTAGAAACTGAGCCAGCAGCTTTTAACTTGTTCTCTTCCTCTTGTACTAGCATTGCTGCTGCTTCCAGCTCTTCCAGTTCAAGTCCTGTGTGGGACTTGGTGAGCGTGGCTTTCTGCAAGGCTTCAGCAAGTGCAGCCAACTTTTTTGACCTTTAACGAAGAACAAAAATGCTATTTAATTTTACAAACAGAACATTCCCATTTGATAACAAAATCACAAAATTTAAACTTTTCAGTTATTTGCTTGGTCTGCAAACAACTTCAATTATGTTTAAGAGTAGATACTACAGAAAAAATAAAGAAAAAATAATTCATTTAACTTCCCAAGGCTAAACAATACAGCATGAAATCCTTGTCCTTGACATTTTCATGTCTGAAGCAGAAAAGATACTGCTTTGATGTTTCAACATTGCACAATAAGGAAAACACTGATTTCTGAAAAATTCTTAGAGATTGCAGACTTCTTCAATGACAAGTTCATCAGTACTTGGTTAGTGAGATTAAGTCTGTATGAAGCAAATTCCTTCATGTTCAAACAAAACAAAAATTTCTGTATGAAATTAGAACAGTTTTACTATTTGAAAATTGTTAGGTCTTTGCAGTGTGCAATTCCTTTCTATGTATTCTACTTTGTGCATGTTCTACAAACTTTTAATTTGCCCAGCAAGCATTATCAAAATCCTCATTTAACAGCTTTATTCTGCCATGCTGCATCCACTTCCTGTTTTTCCTTCCAACTCCGAACATTTTTTCAAAGCTCAGCACTTTAGGAGAGCCTGAGTGCCCCTCTCCCTTCTCCACTGAATGCAACAAGTCTCATTTTATAAAAGTTACTGAAAAGAAAATCTATGACCTTCCCTTTTTAGTTTATTTGTTAAAAAATGTTTCAGGACAGAAATAGGTATGCAGCTATTTAAATTTAAAGTCATATGTACTTACTAATGGATAAGTATGGCAATACCAACATAACAATAGACACTGACATACCGGTTAACACTGACATATTCCAGACCTCCCAAAACTCATTTTTTCCTAAATGAGAAAGTTTAGGGAAAATACTCTGCAACTACGCTACCTGATTCTGATATGTTCTCCAGCGTTCATTGCTCCTCCAGTGCATGCTTGCACAAGTCCAATAAATTAACTGAAGTGATGTTTTGCCTTCCATTTGTATGTATAGTTTACAAATAAGTATCAGGACCAATTAGGTAGAGCCCTCCAGTAAAGCAGGCACGCCCTGTCAGCTTCCAGTCTTTGGTACAGTTATATCCATTTCCTCAAGCATTTTGAAGTCAGCACGTATTTTATCAGGAAACTGCATCAGATTTATAAGCAGAGAGAACAAAAAGCAAGGGAGTGACTTGCAATGAAGGGGATGGGTAGAGAAACAGGTACAAACCAGCAAACATGCATCCTGTTTCTTGTTGCTGAGTTGTGCCTCAGACTATCAATCAACTTTTCACCACTTCCTGCACCAGCAGGTCTACTATAAATCCTGCAGTAACTGACTGGGTTTCATTTCCTCTGCCAGGGCCTGCTAACCTGCAAGGCATGACACACTGACACTGCAGCAGGCAGCTGATAATGTAATACATGACTCCTGCGAGGCAAAAGTTGAAGTGCTTGTTCTCTCAGTCGAATGATTTTAAAGATCTTTATATTCTGTTTCCCAGGGGGGATAATTACTCAGTATAACATAAGACTCTGCATTTTTTTTTCTCCTACTCCTAAAGGAATTGTATTTAAAAGTGGGGGAAGGGAAATTTAATGCAGTTTCTTACACATTTTACAGAGACAGCACAACCTTTAAAAACTGAACTTGGAATTAAATCTTATTTAACTTCCCCAGTTCTCAATGTGGAGACTAGAAAAGTGAGAAATAAGTCTTTATATGAAATAACTGAAGCAATAGAAAACAATTTATATTTTCATGGTTTTTAACTCTAGAGTTATAAGTTATAACCTGATCTAAGCAACCTCCAATGTAAATATGGGATTCCAAATCTTAATAAGCTGCTTATTACAACAGCATTATATTCATTCTTTTCCAGAGAAAGACTTGTACCAATTTATCTGTCACCTAAAACTTAAACTTTTCTTGAAAAGTTCACAGGATCCAAAAAATTGTTAGCCCAGTTAGGTAAAGGGAGGCATTTTCCATATTGCATCACAGAAAAAGAAAAAGGGACACAGCCAACTGATTCATGAGAAGGTCCATGAAGCCTTGCAGGTATGTGGTAGCAGAATTACTCGTCTGCAGGGAAACGTGTTTCCTCAGCATCCCAAGAAGCTGGTTTATGCCCTGAGTCACAGGAGTTTATACCCCTTACCAATAGCATTTTTCAGTTTTGCTTTTAAAACACTCTCCTCCCCATTTCCTTCCAACTACACACATTTGTGTGCATATAAACCCTCCCCACCATGATAGCTGTGAACAACAACAGTCTTTCTGTCTGTCGGTGAGAACACAGCAACGAGTTCTACAGGCTACATACACATTGTGACCAAGAACACTCTTTGGGGAGTTTTATCCATTTTATATGGAGTGCCTTTTAATTTCACTGACAACCATGAGCTGTTGCAGACAATGATTTCCTCTGGTGATACATCTTCAGCCCCAGCCACCTCAATCTCACCTACCTGTTTTACTACTGCCCTTATAGAGAAAATCAATTTTGAGACTATTTGTCCTCACATCTCTTCTATCATGTCTATCACATCTATCACTTTTTCCCCATTCTGTGTGTGTGTACACATACTTTTTTGGCTTTTGCCCTATTTCTACTGTTCTAAGTTTGCATGCATTTTTTTGCACCCCTAACAGATATTCTCAAGGCTATAAACTAGTCCCTTGAAAATTCCCTCCTCCTCTTTTACTATCTTCTTGTAATGCAGTTAACACCTTAGGTTAAAAAATAAACCACACAACTAAGTAACTACATCAAGTGTTACATCAAGTGTTATGTAAACGCATGGCTTTTTTTTTTTTAAAAAAAATCAACACTTCAAGGAAGAAAATAGTAATACGAGCATTTGACTCAATAAGCATTGCTACATTAAATGTGGTGCTACCAACACTAAAGAATAATCTTTCTCCAAAGCAGCAAGTTTTGCTCACTTTACACAAATGCAGTTTTAACACTAAATCCAAAGGACAGCAGTGAGAACAGTGGTGCCTGGCTGCAACACAGCAACAGGCAGGTGTCTGCTAGGAGAGCTGCAAAATTGCAAGGGGCATTCTTAGTCTGTAAGAAAACCTCAAGTTTAATTCCTTCTGAATGGTCAAATTAAACTATAAGTGTTAATGACTGATTTCATAAAACTGACTTCAAGAGTTATTCAACCCTTTTTCTCTTAAGTCTCGTACTGAGGGTGTGATTTTTACCTTTGCAAATGACTACAGAAAGAAGCCAACCATAAACAAAACAGGTAGCTCTGCTAACAGAGGGAGTACAAGTAGATACCGCACTTGGACAAGTAAACGCTTCCAGAAGGCCAACAATTCATCTAACCTCCTAATCCCAGGACAGCCTGCCCAACTCAGACGTATGGTCTCATGTCCCGGGGCAGCTACACAGCCTTAACTCCTGCCAGACACCCAGAAGGGAGAAAAACAAATGGAAGCAGGAACAGAAGAGAATCAAACATCTTAAAGTGCTGAGAAGGCAGTTGCTAGCTCAGCACAAGCAAGGAGGCCCTTTTAGCTTTGTGAAATTCAGCAAAATAATGCCAGTAAGTCTCTCCAGTTACTCAGAATTCATTTTCTTAGTATATGAAATGCTTTACTCCCAACTCACTCTGGTCATGAAGCCTCTTCCCGGAAAAAACAGACAGGGTACAGAGTTTGACATTTCAAAGGGAGAAACAAAACAAACCTAAACTGCTATTGGATAACTATGTACATCCAAGTTGAACGTCAAGGTCCCAGCTTTCCGATTTTCCCACTCCCTGTTACAAAAAAGCAGCCCTAAGAAAACACCATTTTCTTCCTGTAAAAGCGACTAACAGAACTCCATAAAATAAGTCCATCTGTTTTAGGCAATTGTTTAATTTCAAGTACTGATCTTTAAGGAATCCATTCTACACCAACCTTAAGACAAAGTGACAACAGAAGAAAAATGAGAAAAAGGCAAGTAGCATAAAAATCAGAGCATGGAAAACCTTCTGAAACATGACAGCAGGTCTCTGAGCTAATGACTTCCACAGGTGAAAGATAAGCAACATCTCAGGAAACACATCAAGCACCAGAAATGCCATATGATGCACTGGTTAGAGACCTGCAGTAAACAGGTCCTGCTGTTGCCAAAATCTTTTGAGCAGTATTGTCGAAATTAAGCAGTAAATGCTTATTTTTTTCTCATGTATGATTAATGAAACTACATGATTACTTTTAGACATGCTCATTCAGTATGCACATTTGTGGCAATGATATCTTATTATTATGGTAATAGTGTTCTCACGTAAACATGCATAATGGGTTTTAAAAGAAGCTACATATGATAATTATTAGTTATCAGATGACAGTTGCTTAAGAAAAATGATTAATTACAGGTTAAATGGATCAGATGCACGTTCCACTTAATGCACAGCTTTGAGGAACAGGTAACAGCAGAGGCATCTCGGGTTCTGTCCATGTAGTCTGAAATTACAATTTCAGGGCAGAAATATTGGAATCCTCCTTTACGTAGCAGCAAAGATTCTCCACATGCTAGAAGAATAGACCCCTGCTCCATAGCTCTTAGCTTGTAAAAAAGTAAAATGAGAAAAGAATAATGAATCAAAGATGATTCAGCAAAATGCTCACGAGAGCAGAAAAGTAAAAGCCAGAAGTAGCATAGCTAATAACAGGGCCAGAAGAGAAATCATAAAGTTCGATCTAAGCCAGGCTGCAGCAGTATTTATATACACAGGAGCTATGAAAGTATTTGCTGTCTCAGCACAGCCCTGCCCACAACCTGCCCATCAGTTCAAAATCACACCCCAGACATTAGTGACCTAGGCCTTTCCATCAGCTTACCTTATATCCAAATGTTCAGCTTTAGAAGCTCATTCTGCTAAAAATAAAACAAAGGAAAAAAACCACTATTTTCAAGAGCCCTTGAAACACTAAACCAGACATGGGAGTTACATGCCTAAAACACTATGCAGGA